AAAAAAAAAAAAAAAAAAAAAAAAAAAAAAAGAGAGGAAATTTTGAACGTTTTATTTGTAGATGTCGGTTTCACACACTAAAAGACAGTGTAAATTTATTTAACATATATGGAAAGCAACAGCAAAAACTTGACTTGATTCTTTACAGTGGTTTCCCTAGCATAAAAACAGGTACAGAAGGTACAACTCGTATATAGTCTGTCTCGCAATAAACAATTGAGAGCTCTAGTCATGCATTCCTTGCACTTCTGACCAAAATTTTGGCAGTTAGTAGCAAAATATAACGAAGATATAGATAAATTAAATAAATACACTAAAGAAATCCTATACTGCAGACACTTAATCTCACCAGTCGATCTAATAAGTATGTCTGACCTGGAAGATAAATGACAACATCAGATACAAGAAACGCATGGAAGCATACAAAAACCAAAAATCATTAATGGCAACAGAAAAAACCAATTAATTGCTTTACTTAATAAAACAACAATACCCTGAGCAAAATGTTACAAAATTTGTCATTTTTGTTCTGAATTCGCATTTCCAGTGAATGCCTGTTTCTAAAAGCCAGCCATAATTATATCAGGAATTGAGAATAAGAGTTAAATGATACCAGGATTCCTGGTCGTTGGAGAACCACTGCGAAGAAATTGAGAAGCTAAGCAGAGTCTAGCTAACGAAGAGATGAATATTATGACAAAAACTTTAAAAAAATTTAGATTTCTTATTTTACAAACACCTGCTTTCCAGAATAAGTCAATGTTAATTATAAAATTTGGTGAAAAGAGATAAGAGAGAAAATTTTTCAAGCCAACCTAACGTCAAATTCCAGGTTATCTCCTACAATTTGTCCTTTATGTGCGTTTTTGCCATTTCACATACCTTCTTCACAAAATACCAGAAATTGAATAATATCCTAATGAACTGTTACTGACAGTGAGTTAGTTGAAAACCAAAGTCAATTTGCTCCCTATTTCACGGTAGAAGAATTGCCATAATTTAAGGTAATCTTTCCACTTTCTCAGGACCTGACAGGCACCAGTGAATTTTTTTTCCACCTAAAGTTGCCATCTGCCTAGTAACGACTCTTCGCATCGAAATAAAAATGTTTAAGTAACTATATTCCATAATTCGCTTGGTATTCCTTTCCAGCAAGTAAAATTAATTATTCAGCATCTGTCAGACTTTACTTTCAAGTCCTTTTCTCAAAATGCTGTTCATTAAAAAAAATAATGCATTTTCTATGTCACTTTCATGTAAATACGTCGATAAATGTTGCGTTATCCTAATATAAATGTGGTGCTTCCAGGACTTGCTTAGATCACCTGGAAAATGAATAAAATTGACGTCCCGCTGGCACATGTTAGCACACGAGATAGCTCTGAGATTTGGCCAGAAAATTTCTTCCCTAATGTACTCGGTTTTGCTGGCAATTAAAGCTCTTACACTTCTGACACGTCCAAAAAAAAAAAATAAAAAATAAAAAATAAAAAAGCTCATTAGCAAATGAAAAATAAAGCGAGAATGAGTAGAGGTAACAAAGGCAAAAAAATATGCACATGCGAAAAACCAAATAAGACAACTGTGAATCTCAAAATGACCAATTAAGGCGGCATTTTAAAGCAAACAAAGTTAGGAACTTTTCATCCAATATTTTGAAAAAAAGAGGTTGCTTGTAATTGCAATAATCGGTTCATTTAAACATGAAAGAAAGTTTCGATTAAGAAAATGAACGGGAGACGTAATCTCAGCCAAAAGATAAATAGCTTCTGCAAAATCCAAAATTCTTTCTGAATACTGTCCAAACACGGGCTGTCTCCATGTTTACTGAATGTTAAGGTTAGCTGATATATATCAAATTACAAAACTTATCTTACCGTATTTGGGAGCCCCATGCGTCTTCCTGAAGATGGTCCCGTTCCGCAAAGACGTATTGTTCTCGAAGACTGTCCAGTCCGAACTTATTGTCGGCGCTTCAATATAATTATCAGCGTACGTTAAGACCTTGTCGACCAAAAATATTAAAACTAAGGTTCTTAAAATCCACATCTTCAGTAAAAGAACAACTTCCAACTAAGCCAAGGAGTCACGGTTTCAAAGGATATAAGATATAGTCTTCCTGTAGTCCTGACTAAAAGTTAGTTCAAGTTCAGCTTTGATAGCAAACTACCAACCAGAGCAGTGCGAAGGAAAATATCAACACTAATACTGTTCTGCAAAATCGATTGTAGCATACGCTTAAAACTTTGACAGTTTGAAAATGTAGGTGCTCCTAAGACAAAGTTCATCTGTTCCGCGCCCGGTACAAGTTTGTAAAAACAAAGCGAAAAACTTCGCTGCAAGCAAAGATTGAGTTTTGCAGATAGGTATTAAACAGCTGTTCTAAAAAACGTCGCCAACACGGCAGCTAAACAAATAGCTACAAGTTCCCCACAAAGCATAGATACCAAG